TTGTTGGTGTAGAGCGTAGCGCGTTTAGTAGTTGTAATTTTTTTATTTTTTTTTATTTGATTCGTTTGTTTGTAAACCTAATTAAAACTTAATACATTGGATGAGCCATCAACTTGCGATTTGCGATGATCTTGTAGGATATTTTTAAGATGTACCTGCTTACTAAGAAATATTTTTTATGTAAATCATAAAATTAATCTTCAAGTAAATAAACAGATTTAAATAAAATTTTGGATATAAATAAAATAAAGAGTGTATTTTGTCACACAAAATCCATTGGTGTACGGTAAATGGGTAGAGTATAATAGTAGAAATAGTTTTTTCTTCATAATAATACAATACGAGGCCTCTACAATACTCATTGGAGAAAGTTAATAGAGGTTTTAATTAGTCAAACTAAATAAATTATATAAAAAATAGAAAGGTCTTTGAGGAAAAGTACCATGTGTACTAACAAAATATTTTTTCTTATAGGTATAGAAAAATACTTCAACTTGGCCTATCAAAAGAATATCGAAATCCTGTCTGTGAAACAGGAAAATGGTTACACCATATATTTGGACTTACATTTTTACATCCAGATGAAGTGGGAGATGCATTTGCTTCTGATTTTGCAGAAGATATGCCTCAAAATGAAAAAGTGGTTCAATTCGCGGACTATTTAATCGAAAATTATATAAGTCAAGACTCAAGTTTTCCCCCTAATATTTGGGCAGAATGTTCTGCAGACATTACTAGAACTACGAACTGTTGTGAAAGTTTTCATTCGAAATTTAAACATTATTGTGTGGCTTATCATCCAAATATACACGTGTTTCTCGAGGCGTTGAAAAAAAATCCAAACACATACCTGTATTAAAATAAATAGTAGCAATAAAAAAGAAAAACGTTTAATAAAAGAAGACGTTTTAAAAAGCCAAAATTTCATTACTGCCAAAATTTCACAATATCAGTGTAAAGAGATTAGCCGCTATGATTTTTTAAAATGTGTAGCATATAAATTTAATATGCATTTAATTAAATAAATATGATGCAACTTCAAAAATTATGTAGTTTTAATTATTACTAACCACTAACGGGAATTCGAGTTAAGGATTAAGGATAAATTTGAACCCTGCCGGGAACTCGTGTGCAGTATTAAGAGACAAAAGTTGAAACGCAGGTAAAAGGTTTTATCACAGCTTATACAATACAGCTAAAACACTCTCTTGGCGGCAACGGTTTGCGTCGATTTCGTCGCGCATCGCTTAAGCTCCGCCTTCGAAGGGAAAAGACGGTTTTGGTGTTCAGAAGCGTACTTAGGTAAGGTGTTGAGTCGTGCGTATAATTTCGTTGATTGTATAATTTCGTGGAGCCTATAATTTCGTTGATTGTATAATTTCGTGGAGCCTATAATTTCGTTGATTTTGTTTGAGTTAAAGGTACTGTTATTATTTTGGTGACTCTTTAGCTATGAGTAGAATGAGTGAAAAAAAAAAAACATCATTCTGTTTGTGCAGTCAAAAGCTGTTTTAATAAGGGTTATACCTGCAAGAAAACATTCTTTAGTTTTCCCAAGGACCCAAACCGATAAGTACCACATTATAAGAAATGTTCATTGTGAAAAATATAATTTATACAGGGTATCCCATTAGTGCGTTATTGTTCATTATTTTGTTGTAGACACGCAAGAAAGTTTTAAATAAAAGTTATATGGATTTGAAAAATACCTACATATTTTAAAAATATCTTTGGATTACAGGGCGTCACGTTTTTGCCTGGCAAATTAAAATGTATGTTTTTTAAATGGAACACCTTGTATTTTATTTTATGATAACATTATTAACACCCTAAATTATTGTAAAGACGAATTGATACAGAAAAATTTTATCAGGTATGTGTGTGGTTACCTTTTAATAAAAGCCTTGCGGATCCACTCCTCTGCGATACCTGTCTTAAATATAACAAAGATCACGTTGAATTAGATGATTTTTCTTTTTATTGCTTTTTAAAGGCATATGATAACGCCAATCCAGATACATTTGGAAATCTGCAACTGTCAAATGATGAATTTGTAGAACTAATATTCAATATTGAAAAGATATTTCAAAATAATTTTGAAGAATTGGCTACAAAAAATAACATTTGTACCACACTTTTAGAATTAATTAACCCAATACCCTTTAGTCATCCATGCTAACGTTTTCCAAAAGAATAACTTATTTTATTGTATGTTTAATCTCAATAACTAAAAAATATACTGACAATTAGTTTGACAGAATTGTCATTTATTTAAAATTTTTAAAATAATAGCAGTCGGTTGATCAAAATATGAACGGTGATTGGCGAATTTATTTTTTTTTTGCAGTGTTCTCATTACCTAGAATGGATATGAAATATATTCGTTCAATTGAAGGCAATAGCATACTTTTTCGTTTTGTAATCTGTGCATGGATATTAGCCAATCTATGCACATACTACAAAACGAAAAAGTATGTTATTGCGTTCAACTACGAATATATTTCATATCCATTTTAGGTAGTGAGAACACTTTAACAAAATTAAATCTTCAAATCACAGTTCATATTTTGGTCACCCAACTCCTATTATTTAATTTTTTTTAAATAAGTGACAATTCTGTTAAACTAATTGTCAATATATATTTTAGTTATTGATATTAAATATACATTAAAATTTTTGTGTAGACTCGATAAATAATAGCATTTTTGTTTAAAAAAAAAAAAATTTTAATCAAACTACATGATACTAATTTAATTACGAGTATTAAAACTAAAGTCCTGAAAGTTTCGGTGAAGATGAGGATAGAGCATCTGCCTTCCACGCGAAAAGCCCGGGATCGAATCTAGGCCGAGGACTAATTAATTTTTCATGTTAATTTTATTTTATAAATTAGTCAACTTCGTAAATTATTTTAAAATTAGTTATTTTGTCTAAATAACCTAAAATAATTTTTTAAATTTGTAGATTTTCGTTAGTGGGTCGTAGAAAAAATATACTGACCATATCGAGTGGATTGTTCATATCACAATCAGACGATTGAGTACTCCGCATACGACGTCGTGCTTAAACTTCGTCTTTGTGTGATATTGCTATCATATCCACCCTTGTTGAACAAACTATAATTTATTTGTTTTCTTGGTTTAAACCAAAACTTAAGTTTTACATCAGAAATAGGAACTAAATTAATTTACTTTTCAAGTTTTCTTATAAAAATCGATATTACTTTCTCCAAGTACAAATTTAGTACCTACCTAAAATAAGTACTAATTATGTAATATCGTGTAATATTGTAATTCTAATTTCACATTACTATAAAGTTTCAAAATTCCCTACTTCGGTATGGTCAGATAAAAATTGAATATATTATATTAATAAAAACTGTCAAAGTATTACTTCTACAAATCTGTATTTCAATTAATAAGAATACATCTAAATATAACCAATATTGTTAAAATAAAAGCACAAATTCTTTATAATTCCAAAATACCATAGAGTTCCCAGACCTCAGTCGAAGCATTCGTTTATCTAGGTATAAACCCTTTGCGCGAAGAGTAACACTTGCTAGAGACACGGGGTACCACTTGATTTGCATCCACGAGCGTGACACAATTCTTTAACAATTGAAGCCCTTGGTGTAAAAAGGATCCAAGCCACAATTTGTCGTGAAGTGACTGTTTTAGCTCAAAACATTTGTTAACGAGAATTTTACTAGCCACATACAAATTATTTTACCTCTAATCCGAAAGATGTGCTATTTTTCGTAATATTTATATTTAAATAATGTTTCTAATTATATTTGACAGATTTAAAACAAATTAAAACTTTAATTTCCCAAAACTTACTTAATATGGCATGTAACCAACCTTATTACGCCAAGGTTTTCAATTTTTTTAATAATAAAAAAATTGTTTAATCCGGGCCCGACTTTTCCCTCGAATCTAACAGATATAGCACCATTCCGTCTTGCTTGGTTCTCGACCGCCAGATCAAAGACGCCGACACGGAGTTGTGGAGCTGTATTGTATAAGCTGTGACAATATCTTATGAACTGTGACTTTAACAAAATATCCAAACACTAGCATGTATATTTTGTCAAGGTCACGGTTCGTAAGATTTTGTACAAGCCCTACCTTATACCTTCGCGATCAAGGCAATCGCCCCTCTGATGCGTTTTTGTAGCTTAATTATCTATTTGTTTTTTATAAAGTTTGTGCCGTTTGCTTTTGGCTGCAAAAGTATGTAGAAGGGTCTGCTCGCATTTTTATAGCTTATAGGAAACAGTAAATACATATACACAATTGGTAGGCGGTGTCTCCTTCCCAAATTCAACAAGGTAAAATTAAAAATGGTTAAACGACGATACTCCACACAATAAAGTAGCGTTGCTGGAGTTACGAAGGCTCACAAACATTTGAAAGCCGTTTTAAAAAAACGTATCACTTGTAGCTCCCCCTGACTACTTATAATTATAAAACAAAACTGATCTAATAACCTGCAATGAGGGAATGCCTACATAAAGCCAAAAACCGTATCAAAATCGGCCCAACTGTTTCAGAGAAACACATGCTGCAAAGCGCCCTGGTGACCTATAACCGTAAACCATGCCTAAGAGCCTGCAGAGAAGTGATACCAGTGATACCTATGCAATGAAAAAACCTAATCGAAATCGGTCCAGGAGTTTTTGAAGAAAATGCTTACATACATACACACTAAAAACAAACAATTTCCGTCGTAAAGATATGAAGTTATGACCAGTTTTGTTGTATAAGTGTATATTTGGATTAAAAATTTCTAATATTTATTATCGTATACATGGCACTGAGTTCGGCCCTGAAATGTCCCCCAAAAATCCGACCTCCATAAAAGTGATTAGATATTTTTACTTAAAAATAATGTCAAATGCTATAAAATTGTTTTTAATTTGTTGTAGAAAACATTTAAATTTTAAATTTTTATAATATTTATGGGATATTTTTTTGAATCTTTATTTTTATACTCACTTTCGATTTTGCCAAGATATATCTATATTCCTAGAAGCATTTATTCCCTATGCTCAGCTTTCCGTGTGATATATTCCTTTTTAAAATAACTTTATAGCACACACCCGTTGTTCACAAAGTCACCACTCGAAAATTGCTGGCTGGCAAATATGTTAAGCACATTTTTACACTTCCTTTCGCAGCACTATTTCCGTGAAAACTCGCTGGGATTATCACAGTTTTTTTTGGCGTCATAATATGTCCTTTATACATCTATTACACAAACAGGTGCAACTATATGGAAATAATTCTAAGTTAAAATAGTAACAAATCTCATGATGTCTATTTTAGGATATTACAATAATCTCATTAAATTTTGGCACTGATTATGAAAGTTAACGCTGGTTATTCTATTTTTATTTATTTTTTTTTACTTTATCATAATGCGTGCACGTGCGGTGTATTAAAAAGAAATTAAGACTATACAGGATGGTCATTTTTTAAGTGAAATAAATTGATGTTTCGCTAAATATCGGTTAAAATAAAGTTAGTTGAATGGGAAAAAGGTTAGAAATTAAAAACTTGCTTCTTTAAAGGGGTGTAGCCCATCTCGGCACACTTAATTACGGTCAATTTTATGACACATTGTCGGTCCTTTTGTAATGACCCATCTCGGCACACAGAACTCACAGGTAATAGAAAGGGTGTATCCCATATCGGCACACTATACTACGGTCAATTTTATACCTTATCAAAGATACAACTATAGTCTATTTTTATGTATGAGAGAAAATTTCTATAATTTATGTCTAACTACTGATTGGAATGGTTTTTCTGAAGATATTGACTCTAAATTTTTAGACTTCTTAAATAAAATAATTATGTGTTTCAATACAGCTTTCCCCCTTCGCCCCATTAAAACTAAATGTCATAAATCTTGGACAACTAAAGGAATAAGAACATCATCTAAAAATATGAGGTCACTCATGTATATTAAAAAGTATACAGATAATCCCCTAATATTAAACTATATCAACAACTACAGAATATTGTATCGGAAAATCACCAAATCTGCTAAGAAAAACTATTACAAAAATCGCATCGCAAGAGCTAAAAACTCCTCCAAAGAAACCTGGTCTATAATAAATGACTTAAGGAATAAAACCCGTTCTTCAAACAGTGTAAATCCTAGCCCAGATGAACTAAACAATTATTTCGTAAATGTAAGTAAAAATATCAAATCTAACATAGCTCTGAGTCAGGATGCTCTCTCCTTCTTCCTACCTACTAAAAGGATCACTGAAAGTTTCTTCCTAAGACCAGTAGACAAGCATGAACTAGTGCAAACCATAAACAACATCCAAAATAAATTTTCCTGTGGAATTGATGGCCTGTCCACCAAAATATTTCTAAATATACCGGATGTAGTAATCAACATTTTAACTTCACTGATTAATGAATCCTTTGAAATTGGTCTCTTTCCTAACTGTCTAAAAACAGCTATAATAATCCCACTTCATAAAGGTGGCGACAAATCCAAAACCTGTAACTATAGACCTATCGCGTTATTGCCTACCTTATCGAAGATAGTAGAACGGCTAATGAAAAACCGTCTTTTGCCCTTTCTTTTCAAGCATAACATCCTCACAGCTCATCAGTATGGCTTTCTACCTAAAAAATACACTAGCGACGCAATGTTTTCCGTTCTTAATGAAATATACACATCACTTAATGATAAACTTTTCACCGCTTCAGTATTTTGTGACTTCGCAAAGGCCTTCGATTGTGTAAATCATGATATTTTAATTAATAAGTTACCAATTTATGGCATACGGGGTTCTCCTTTACAATGGTTTAAAACTTACCTAGAAAATAGAAATCAACAGGTGCGGGCGAATGGTGAGGATTCTACAAATCTAGCAATAAGCAGTGGAGTACCTCAAGGATCAGTATTAGGTCCAATTTTGTTTTTATTATTCATCAACGACATCACAGACTTAAAAATAAGTGGTAGAATTACTTTATTTGCTGATGATACCAGTGTAACCTGGAATAATTCTAACATGCAGACATTACAATCTATCATAAGTGAAGATCTAGTGACTATTAAGTCCTGGTCTGATTCGAATGGACTTTGTTTTAACACCAGTAAAACTGTAGCATTGTCTTACAGAGGTACTTTACAACCTATAACTTTAAACAATAATCTGATCCAAACGGTGACTTCAATCAAGTTTTTAGGTCTTTATATAGACGATTCTCTAAAATGGTCTGCTCATATAGATACCTTAGCAAAAAAATTATCCTCCGCATGTTTTGCCATTAAATCGGTTTCTAAAGAGCTGACTCCTTCTACTGCATTAATAACCTACTTTTCCTTATTCGAATCTCACCTTCGCTATGGTTTACCTTTCTGGGGTTCTTGTAGCTTATACCTTTTCGAATCTATTTTTAAACTGCAAAAAAGAGCAATCCGCTATGTATTTGGTTTAAGTAGTAGGACACATTGCGAAAATTACTTCAAAAATTTCAAAATTCTAACTCTTCCTGCTCTATTTATTTTTGAATCCGTCTGCTTAGTTCGCAAGCACATTCAAAATTTATCCGAAAGACCGACTCGTAGATATCCTACAAGAAATTTAGAGACTGATGTTTATTTAACAATGCCCACTTCTGACCTATTAAAACATTCCATTACCTACAATGCCAAAAAATTGTATAATAACCTTCCGATGCAATTAAAATCTATAAATACATACGATAAGTTCCGAAGACTGGCTAAAGCTTTTCTTCTAGAAAGACCATATTACACAGTAGCAGAATTTTATAACGTACCTTAGACATTTGAGTTCCACATACAATGGCATTAATTAAATAATTAAATATTAAAGTTTAAATTTAAATTTAAAAATTAAATTAGAATAATTATAATGACGGATATTGCATATCCATTGCAATTGTTATTCCTATTTTGTCTGTTTGTTTTTTCTGCTGTTTAGTTATTTTTATAATATGTTTAGTATTTAAGTTACACGCTTTGTCTATAAAATTTTTGTAAATTTTTTTACGACAATAAAGCATATCTCTCTCTCTCTCTCTCTAATAAAACGGCATTTCTAATGCAAAACTTAGTACGGTCATTTTAAACATTTTTACAGAATAATCTAAATATTTCCTAAAATTGTAATAAATGTACCTGAGCTATTACAAGTTTTGGGTCTTTTATTGGTCCTTTATAAACATAAGCTGTACAGAACAATAGAAAAAGGTTTGGACAGGCCAAAAGCCCTGTGTATTAAAGATTACATAGCCGTATCTTAAGATTATTGTCAATAAGTACCTATTTGTCAATTTTGTTTTATTTTAATTCCAAGAATTTCTTACAGTAATCGAATTATAAGTAAATAAATACCTTCCCAACAAATTTCACCGAAAATGCGATTATAGGTTTTCCATTTAGTAAGGAGGTCCAAGTTGTGTATTCTTGACAGTTTACTAGATGTCATTTAGTTGCAACTTGCAAGGTGCAGTGTGCATTCTAGTGTGATCATGGAAAATTTGGAAGGGCCGCGTAAACGACAAAAAATCGGTCCTTTAACAGTTAATGAAAAAACATTAATATTTAATCGTTTTAAATCATTTACAGACAAACATTTATGTAAAAGTGTTGATGACACAGTGAAATTAGTTAGTAGTACGCTTGGTGTTGGGAAATCTACGATTTACAGAGTTGTTAAAGAAGAGAAATGTGGCGAGTTTCAAACAGCACGTAAAACTCAGGAAAACCAAAATTTCAATTAGAAAATCTTTTGAAAGAAAGACTTCGAAGGAAAGTGCATGCGTTCTTCTTTAGAAAAGAATTTCCGACAGTAGACAAAGTTCTTGCCACGGTTCGAGATGATAAGGATTACCCTGAAATGAGTCGAAGCACACTATGGAAATTTTTTAAAAGAAATAGGTTTTCTATGGAAAAAGCATTCCAGAAAGTCTATTTTAATAGAAAGAAGCGATATTGTAGTATGGAGAAGTAATTACCTAAGGACTATAGAAGAAATGAAAAACCAAAGAAGAAATATATTTTATTTAGATTAAACATGGATCAACGAGGGACATAAACCAAATAAATTTTGGCAAGATGAAACTGTTACAAGTCGAAGACAGGCTTTTTTAAATAATTTATCTACTGGTTTAAATTCACCATCAGGAAAGGGGCGCAGACTAATAATAGTACACATCGGTAGTTCAAACGGTTTTGTTAAAGGTGGTTTATTGACTTTTGAATCTACTCGTACCGGTGACTACCATGAGGACATGAATGCTGATATCTTTAAAGAGTGGTTCGAACAAATTATAGATCTTCTTCCTCAGAACTGTTTAATAGTAATAGATAATGCAAGTTATCACTCGAGACTTATAGAAAAAATGCCCACAACCAAGTGGTTAAAAAAAGATTTACAGAATTGGCTAAATTCAAAGAATATTAAGTTCCATCCCGGTTCTCTGAGAAAAGAACTGTATCATTTGTGTTCCCTTCATAAAGAGAAATTCAAAAAATATGAAATTGATGAAATTGCAAAAAATCGTGGGATGACGGTGGTTAGATCACCACTATATCATTGCAAAGTAAACCCGATTGAACTGATATGGGCACAGATAAAGGGAGAAGTTTCAAGAAAAAATAATTCTTTTAAAATGAGTGATGTTAAACAGTTGTTTTTGGAGGCTGTAAATGATGTGAAGCCTGAAAACTGGGAAAAGGCAGTAAATCATACGATTAAAGAAGAAGAGAAAATGTGGAAGTTGGACAATATTACTGATGAAATGATCAAGCCACTCATTGTAAATATTGGTTGCGACAGTTCATCTTCTGATTTCGATTCTGATTTGGATTTGTAGGTAAGAAGTAGTTTTTATATTAAAATTATTTATGAACGTAACGTTGTTTAAAAGTCAAAGTTTAAACCCTTATACCTACATAACCCTTTGACACAATGTTCTTAACATACCTTGTGGAAAAATAAAACATTTTAGAAAAAATTGCACTTTTTACCTTTAGCTGTTTAGAAGTTATAAGCAGGTTAATTAGGTGAAAATATAAGTGTATACTCGAGGAATAACTTCAAAAAATATTTTAACTGTCTACTAATAGAAGTGGTACGCCTATGGATTACGAACGCTTTATTATTTTAATACTCTCTCATACATAAAAATAGACTATAGTACCTACCTATACAATTTTGCAACTTTCAATAAAAAAGGTCGATATCAATGACAAAAATAGAAATTTGGAACTATCAAAATGTTATTAGTAAACATATATTTGTTATAAAATAGAAATATCTAAAACTTATAGTAAGTGCAATTGTATTAATACATCTCATAGAATTAATACTGATACAAAAAAGAAACAACAGTTTATTGCTTAGAAAATATCTAAATACAAAAATAATAAACTGACTACACTTGACTATGTGAAAATAGTTGCGCATTATTACGCATTATAATAACTAGTGGTCCTCTTGTTCGTCAAAACTTTATAAAATAATTAGGTATATCTAGTATTAAGTTTAAGATATAGCTAGTAGAATGTCCATCTTGTAGTTTTGTAATAAATACCGTTTTAAAAGAAATTTAATTGTTTTAATATTGTACCTGTACATTCCAAAATGTGATATGAAATAAAACAAACAAAAAATAATTAAACAGAGTTCTGTAGATATTGTTAAAAAACAATTAATAATATATGTATAATAAATGATTGAAATTATTCCTTAGTAAAAAAAAGTGTCTATATGGGCTATACATAACAGCATAGATATGTGCCGACTTGGGCTATATAGAAAAAAGTACCTGCGTAGTTATGTGCCGACTTGGGCTATAACTGTACCTTTTACCTGCTTGGTGTGCCGAGTTGGGCATCGCCCCTTTAAAGATTACATAAACATAAAAATTGATCTTCCTCCATTGAAACTTTTATTTCACTTTATTTCAATCTTGTGTGGTATTCCTCAAGGTTCACGTGTTGGGCCCCTATTGTTTTAATTATTATTTAATGATGTTCCTAACTTTTCTGAACCGCTGGCCCCATTCAGAAGAAAAACATCGTGTATATTTTGTTTTTTTAAATCTTAGGGTCAAATTACATACAGCAATGTTGCCAGTTTTTTATTTCTCCCAAATATTTTGTTTTTTCATTTTTTTTATATTATTCCATAGATTTTTCTTTTGAAATTAATTCCTATTTACTTTATTGGAAATAACATTTTCTTTACAACCTTTCTAACTTTTTAATTATAATCTTAGACATTCTATTTCACAATAGTAATAAATACAAAAAGTTTTTACTGAAATACATGACCAAATATCTTTTTTCTTCACGATCGATACCTCTGTTTTTGCTGAACTTTCGAAAACAATATATCCGAACGTTTTGTCGTGGAATTTTGCTCGGACATCTGGATAAAATGAAATATGTTCTGTAACTCAAATATTGAAGTCATCAGCATTTAATAAACTCTTTGACGGACGTTGTATATTGGATCGATTTAAAAAGGTCCGTTTCTGAATTTTGCACTTATATATAACAGGGGCACATCCAAATATATTAAAAAATGTTTCAGACAATGATATGGAAGAGACAACAGAATAGACTTAATGATGTTTGTATCAGTATTTTTAAATAGTTTTGAAGGTTAACTTTGTTTTTTCAAATAAAAACCTGTGAAAAGATGTCACTTTATACTTTAAAATTAGAAAAGGAAAGTTAAAAAATTTGTCAAATTTTTAATTTAACTATATTCTTTTAACTCATGAGTTTACAATAATTTAAATTGGACAAAATCTAATTAATAATAATTTTATTGTTAATAAATATTTAAAAAAAATGGTTTAAACTTAAATTTATATTACATAACATTTTTAAAATATTTTCTATATCTGTTATTCTTAAATAATTGTCAACATATCACTACAAAGTGCGAGTTTCTTGATATAACAGTACATTACTGTTAGAAATTTAAACTCCTCTGGTGCTTGTAGAAGTTCCAGACGCAAAGAATCTTGAAACAGACAATCACTGAAACAAATTAAAGAAGATTACATAATGATACATCGTAAAAATGCGTAGAAATGCGTAGAAATTCGCATAAATTTGTGGAAATGCATAGAAATTCATAGATATTTATAGAAATTCATAGAAATTTATAGAAATTTATAGAAATTTATAGAAATTTATAGAAATTTATAGAAATTTATAGAAATTCATAGAAATTCATAGAAATTCATAGAAATTCATAGAAATTCATAGAAATTCATAGAAATTCATAGAAATTCATAGAAATTCATAGAAATTCATAGAAATTCATAGAAATTCATAGAAATTCATAGAAATTCATAGAAATTCATAGAAATTCATAGAAATTCATATAAATTCATAGAAATTCATAGAAATTCATAGAAATTCATAGAAATTCATAGAAATTCATAGAAATTCATAGAAATTCATAGAAATTCATAGAAATTCATAGAAATTCATAGAAATTCATAGAAATTCATAGAAATTCATAGAAATTCATAGAAATTCATAGAAATTCATAGAAATTCATAGAAATTCATAGAAATTCATAGAAATTCATATAAATTCATAGAAATTCATAGAAATTCATAGAAATTCATAGAAATTCATAGAAATTCATAGAAATTCATAGAAATTCATAGAAATTCATAGAAATTCATAGAAATTCATAGAAATTCATAGAAATTCATAGAAATTCATAGAAATTCATAGAAATTCATAGAAATTCATAGAAATTCATAGAAATTCATAGAAATTCATAGAAATTCATAGAAATTCATAGAAATTCATAGAAATTCATAGAAATTCATAGAAATTCATAGAAATTCATAGAAATTCATAGAAATTCATAGAAATTCATAGAAATTCATAGAAATTCATAGAAATTCATAGAAATTCATAGAAATTCATAGAAATTCATAGAAATTCATAGAAATTCATAGAAATTCATAGAAATTCATAGAAATTGATAGAAATTCATAGAAATTCATAGAAATTCATAGAAATTCATAGAAATTCATAGAAATTCATAGAAATTCATAGAAATTCATAGAAATTCATAGAAATTCATAGAAATTCATAGAAATTCATAGAAATTCATAGAAATTCATAGAAATTCATAGAAATTCATAGAAATTCATAGAAATTCATAGAAATTCATAGAAATTCATAGAAATTCATAGAAATTCATAGAAATTCATAGAAATTCATAGAAATTCATAGAAATTCATAGAAATTCATAGAAATTCATAGAAATTCATAGAAATTCATAGAAATTCATAGAAATTCATAGAAATTCATAGAAATTCATAGAAATTCATAGAAATTCATAGAAATTCATAGAAATTCATAGAAATTCATAGAAATTCATAGAAATTCATAGAAATTCATAGAAATTCATAGAAATTCATAGAAATTCATAGAAATTCATAGAAATTCATAGAAATTCATAGAAATTCATAGAAATTCATAGAAATTCATAGAAATTCATAGAAATTCATAGAAATTCATAGAAATTCATAGAAATTCATAGAAATTCATAGAAATTCATAGAAATTCATAGAAATTCATAGAAATTCATAGAAATTCATAGAAATTCATAGAAATTCATAGAAATTCATAGAAATTCATAGAAATTCATAGAAATTCATAGAAATTCATAGAAATTCATAGAAATTCATAGAAATTCATAGAAATTCATAGAAATTCATAGAAATTCATAGAAATTCATAGAAATTCATAGAAATTCATAGAAATTCATAGAAATTCATAGAAATTCATAGAAATTCATAGAAATTCATAGAAATTCATAGAAATTCATAGAAATTCATAGAAATTCATAGAAATTCATAGAAATTCATAGAAATTCATAGAAATTCATAGAAATTCATAGAAATTCATAGAAATTCATAGAAATTCATAGAAATTCATAGAAATTCATAGAAATTCATAGAAATTCATAGAAATTCATAGAAATTCATAGAAATTCATAGAAATTCATAGAAATTCATAGAAATTCATAGAAATTCATAGAAATTCATAGAAATTCATAGAAATTCATAGAAATTCATAGAAATTCATAGAAATTCATAGAAATTCATAGAAATTCATAGAAATTCATAGAAATTCATAGAAATTCATAGAAATTCATAGAAATTCATAGAAATTCATAGAAATTCATAGAAATTCATAGAAATTCATAGAAATTCATAGAAATTCATAGAAATTCATAGAAATTCATAGAAATTCATAGAAATTCATAGAAATTCATAGAAATTCATAGAAATTCATAGAAATTCATAGAAATTCATAGAAATTCATAGAAATTCATAGAAATTCATAGAAATTCATAGAAATTCATAGAAATTCATAGAAATTCATAGAAATTCATAGAAATTCATAGAAATTCATAGAAATTCATAGAAATTCATAGAAATTCATAGAAATTCATAGAAATTCATAGAAATTCATAGAAATTCATAGAAATTCATAGAAATTCATAGAAATTCATAGAAATTCATAGAAATTCATAGAAATTCATAGAAATTCATAGAAATTCATAGAAATTCATAGAAACTTAAATTGTACAATGTTGAACAAGTGAGAATGTCTAGTTTTTGCTGATGGTTCCTGATAAGTACGAAACCTGTCCAAGAATGACACTCTATTAAAACTAATTATCTCTGTTTTTCCCCTTAGATCTAATTAAATATTTACCAAGGCATATAGTCAGAAAAATAGTTGTCTTCTGAAAAATATAAATAACTGAAAGAAGATGGATTCAGTTAAAGAAGATGAACCTGAAGATGATGATGATAGTGATGGCGAATATAGGAATATAGCATTTCTAAAGTGGCTAAATGCTGGGAGAGTGGAGGCTATAAAATTTAAATAAGTAGAAGAAGATTAATAAATTAATTGTTTTGGAGAATATTACCATAAAGTCGCTAATAAGAAAATAGAAAAAACCAATTAAAAAAGAAATACTAATAATCGGGAAGACAAAACTAAAATGTCTAATAAAACATAAACGGCTGGTTGCAACAACGTCTATTAAAATTTATGTGTACAATAACCTTTTTTCTGTCCACATATCTTTGAAACTAAATATTTTAATTTTTTCTTGAAAATAACCATTTTTATTCTATTTAAACAACATAATCTTTAACTGGTAATACCTATATTATATCTGATGGCCTTATTGGAAAATAGGGAATAAATGAAAAAAAAAGGCTATTTAGGAGGCTTTTAATAAATCAGTTTCCAGAAGAAATTTGTAAACTTGCTTAAAAATGCTACATGCAAAATGTCAATTTTAAAATATATATAAAATTGATGTTCGTAACGCAGAATATAAAGAAACAAAAAATGTAATCGACCGAAAAGCAGAACTAAATATACCTAAAGAAAAGGAAATTATGAAAGCCTTTGTAGGTACCTGTTATTAAACCATTAAGAAAGTTATTTTGGAAAAAATCAGCCAACAAATTTAAATGTCACAGATTTTGCATTCTGTTGGTTTTAGTTAAACATTAATCTAAAAATAAGAGAAGATCCTCATTATATTTTATAAATACAAAAAAATAAAGCACGCAATTTATACCATTTGTTTTTGTTTCGGTTCACAATAAAATTCGGTGTCACTCTATTGCGTGAAAACAAACAAGATTTTGTTTTAAATCAAACTTACGTGTAACTAGAAATCCAAATAACAAATGTCCAACAATAAAAATAGTATTATTCGTTCCAGTGTGATAAACAATAGCAATCAGAGTTGTCACTATGTAAACGAAAAGGGCTGCTGGGTTCAATAACAGCCATGGCATCAATAGTCTGGGACGATTCTAGAAAAAAAATATACATTAAAATATAAAGTGTTATGTGGAGAAAAATAATGAAACAGTCAAATTTAAATTAAAGATAGCAACAAATAAGAGGTTTATTAAATGTTTATTGTCAATAAAAAAGATTTTTGAATTTATCGGAAACTGTATCAATCAAATCTGTTGAATCGCTTAATTTTTTCTTTTATAATATAGTTATTAGATCAGGTAAATATAATAAAATTAACTCTTATAAAAACTGCTTAGGCACTAGAGGATTTTTAATACCTTGTGTAAAAAATATAATACGATTAGAAAAATCGTTTTTTAAAAAAACATATTTTTTATTTAAACAACAAGTACAATATTTTTATGATTTTATTAATTGCAAGCTAACATCAGACTGAAAGTAAAATAAAAAAATGTTAAACACTTGTTCAGAGATAATAAGTAACTTGAACTGCCGGCTGGTGGAATTCTCGGAACTTCTCGTCAGCGGTAATTTGTATCTAAAATTAACTCATTACTTCAAAATGTGGTCAATAAAGCAATGTTTAATTCTGACTTGTAAGTCTTTACAGCAGTGGTCGCCAACCTCTCAATATGTTGAGCTACTTTGTTAATTTTGGAATAAACAGCGAGCTACCCACACGGAAGCCACGTAACGCAACGTAAATGAAATAATCCACAGTTAATTTATCATTATATGTATTTATTTTACTATTTAACTGGTAATACATAGGTACTAATAATAAACTAATAACAAAATAGCTAATATTACTAGTACGTACTTGTTCATAGCTACATTCCTACCTACCAAATGAAGGTGTTTGAAAAATAAACACAAACTTTTATCCAGCCACAACGGCATGTCACGTAAGATTTAAAAATAGTTATTAATAACAACAAAAAAGTAACGCACTATCATGAACATAAACATTGAAAAATAAAAAAGCACGTTCAATGAGAAGGCTGACACTCAGACTCATCGATAATTTTTTTAATGTTTGGAGTATAATTTGATACAGCCATTCGAATACAATTATCCAAATGTTCATCTGTAAGTCGATTGCGATATTTGTTCTTAATAACCTTCATATTGGAAAAAGAAGATTCACACAAATAGGTTGAACTGAATAATGCTTTCACTTTCAAGGCAACACGGCATAGCACTAAATATTTGTCTTTACTTACAAGAGGCCAGATACATTTGGTACTTGAGACTATTGATTTTAAGGCTAAATCATTTTGAAACTCTATTACTTCCATTTCTGTTGCAGCGATGTCTTCGCCAAAGTTCTGCATAACACAAATTGCAAACTGTCACAAATTGCAAACTGTTGGATATCAATTTCCATAAAGGGTAAAACAACAAACTGCGCTACTAAAGCCATTTCGTTGAAATCCTTAAACGATTTTTGAAGTTATTCTTCAGGGTAGAAAATAATTCTACATGATATTTGCTGTCATAGGGTTCTAATGGATTTTGAGATATTTTTTCTGAAAGAATAGGAAAATGCTTGGCATCGCTGTTAATTAGGTTTTGTTCCCAAAACTCCAGCTTTTTGATAAATGTTTTTATATCAGAAATCATTTTTGCTAGTTCTTTGTCTCTCCCCTGAAGCTGCAAATTAAGTTTGTTTAATTTCTCTGTAATGTCCACGAGAAAACCAAAATCTCTAAGCCAGATTGAATTTTCTAGTTCCGGAGTCGGTTCATCGCGTTGTTTAAAAAATTGAACTATGCCGGATAGGACATCATTAAAACGTTTCAGCACCCGTCCTCTACTTAATCATCGGACTTAAGAGTGAAGGAGTAGGTCCCCGTATTGACAGTCAACTTCATCGGCCAAGGTTTTGAATAATCTTCTTTGTAACGCTTAAGCTCTAATCTTGTTCACAATTTTTACCACCAGTTTCATAACGTTGTTTAGTTTCAGGAAATTTCCACATAATGCTTGCTGATGGATAATGCAGTGGTAACAGAGAAATTGCGGAAAAGTTACATCTTTACGACATAACGCCACCAGACCCTTATCACAACCCACCATAGCTGGAGCGCCATCAGTTGTCAAGCCTACCATTTTCGATATTGGAATTTTCTCGGAAGAAATAATATTTTTTAAATGAGAAAACAACTCCTGTCCAGTAGTGTGTACTTTCAGTGGAATAAACTTCAAAAGATCTTCTTTAATCGTAAAATCACTAAAAACCATCCTGACGAACACGCCCATCTGGGCAGTGTCAACGACATCTGTTGATTCTTCCAGTTGAAGTGAAAAATAAACACAGTTATCTAAGTCAGTTCTTAACTGTAAAAAAATATCATTACTCATTACTTCTACACGTTTCATCACTGTATTAGCAGAAAGTTGCATAGATTTTATAGCTGAAACTATCTCGTCTTTATTTCTAAAGTTGGCAAATAACGAATCAGCAGCTTCTAAAAACGCCTGTTTTATCATTTCGCCGTCTTCATAAGGTTTCTTTTTTTGTGCAATTATCTGGGACACACGGTACGATGCTTCAGTTGCAGCCTTATTTTTGTCGACTGTTCTTAAAAATATTGATTGTTGTCCAATTAACTGCTTTTTTAACGGTTTCAGTTTCTCCTTTATGGCGGCAGAATGTAGTGGGAATGATTTTTCAAAATTAGAATGTACAGTTTTATGATGTCTCTCAATATTTCCTTTTTTAGCAACGGAGACCGAAGTATTACATAACAAACACACATTTTTATCTTTAACTTCTGTAAAAAAGTATTGTTCTGTTCTTCCCATTCCGAATGAAAGTGGTATGTCTTTACCTTCTTACAACTGCTTGCCATAATATTATTTTTTGATGTTCTCTACTAACCCAACCGCTGGACGTTGGTTACGCGTTCAGTTTTAAACTAAGCGCAATGTCGCCACGCCGTGCGTATTTATCCCGTTCAAAGCAATCTTGATCGTTCTCGAGCACTAACGTGCTGGTCCGGCTGGTCGGTTCTAGCTGATTCTAGCTTGATGGCGTCAGCGGCAGATCGCTCACCGCAACGTTGCCGCTGTTTATGTTTAATATTATGACAATTAGATTTTTTGTGGAATTTTAGGAAGCTTCTCTGATTTGTATTTTTTAAATTAAAATAGTTGTGAGAGCTACCAGAATTGCCTCCGCGAGCTACCGGTAGCTCGCGATTGACAGGTTGGCGACCACTGCTTTACAGGATGCTGCCTTCCAAAAAGAAAATCTATCCATCTAGCAACTTGTCCTTCAGGTTATTTAAAACTCATCATCCACTACAAGGCGCTATGGTCACTTCTGATGGTAAAACTTCTTTCCTATGTATCCATTTTTCTTAGTAACTAAGCCACAGATGAGCATCAGGAACCAGAAGCCTTTTCAATTAAATTTGCATCCATTATATTTGCTACTTCTTTCTGTTTAGCAAATGGGAGCCTTCTATGTGCTTGTCTTATTGGCCCTGCATCGCCTGTATAAATTATATGCTAGAAAAAAACTGGTATGCCTTGTAGACTTTTCTGTTTCAAAGATGTTACAGTTGGTATTGTATTTAAATTTTCTTAGCTTTTTAGCTATCAGGTGGCTATAATTTTTAGCTGTTTCACAGAGCTGGCATCAACTGGGTAACATGGAACAGTCTTCGCAGCTGACTGTGTTTTCCACCGGAGCCCTATTTTTTGCGTTAACATTTATTCGTTTATTTTCGCGGGTATATTTTGTTTTAAACATTAAAGCAGGGTGTGAGGCATAAGATAATAAATAGGCTTTTAAGACAAAGATAAAAAACACTGGTAGATCACTTCCCTGTTCAAAAGTAGAAGTCGGTACAGAGGAACAGACTTAATGAGTGATCTAACAGCTGAAATGGGTTACGGACTTTTCAAAGTTGTTACAGAATAGTAGGAACGTAGAATTACTGCACCCTATCACTAATTTCAAATTATTTAATTTAATAATAATGCACCAATAAAATAATAATAAATAAAACTCTGCTTATACATAAAACAACCGAACGCAAGCGAATGCGAATAAACGCGTTTGATCTTGTTTGTCGTAACGTCCATATCATCCGAACGAACATCTTTGGCACCATTTGTACGCGTTCGTTTGCTCTATGAATATGAGACTTTAGGTGTAAGTTCGAATATTAGGACACTCTGTTATTCGACGCTTGTCTAGTAGTATCTACCTTTTTGTTTCCCTAATTATTGCTAGAAAGCCGGCTAGGTGTGAATGACCGTCTTCTCCGGAAAGCATATTTGCTGTAAATATTTCTTGGACCATGATTATTGATTTATAGAACGAGCCCTGCTTCTATAAGATCTTTAAATGTGTCTGATTCTTCTGCAATCGAAGCTTCTTCTGCTATTATGTTGGCTCTTTCGTTGTATATTTTGCAGGATATTTAAAAGAGTGTGTGTTGGAGAGAAAAGTATTAATAGTGGCCTCTTCACTGTCATGGAATCTAATATCTAATAGTTATGATTTTTACCGCTCCATATTCCTGGGCTGCAATCAATGTCTTGTCGTATTGTAGCTGAAGAGCTTGCTGCATTTCAACATCTTGTAGTTCATCGACGACTGTCTGTATGCCGATTTGTTCTAGGAAATCTTTGTGCTTTTCTAGATAGGCCAGATGCAGCAATCTTTTTATATAGATTTAGAATTTCTGTAGACTCTTATTATGTTTCTGATCACGAACCTTTACCTAGCTTTGGAATACCTGTTTCAAATGCTGCCGGTCATACCTTGCCTCCAAAGCTTGGACGAGAGACGTATGACAGGGTTCCTTTTGGGGAATGAAGCCGCAATCTCTTGGCTCAGCTATTGGCTCTAGCTGGAACTTCAAATTGAAGTCAATAAATTTCCCATGTCGTCTGGCCGTCAAACGTGGGTGACTTAAGGGTCTTATAATTTTGTTTTAAGTTACAATGAAGCTTATTAAAGCTTAGATATGAATTATTTTTCCTAACTCAACCATTTCAGTTCTAATGTTAAGCTGACTAACCTCTCTTGCTTGAAGATTTCTTGGATTTATAGCAACCCCTTCATAATTTTAACAGTTTTTTTTCTACTCTCCTCCTCCTTCTCTTATTCCTCGTCCTTTCTGCGCCTTCCCTTTTAATCCTTTACTTCCTCCTTGCGCCTTTTCTATCCTCTTCTTTGTCCTTCTTGTGCCTTTCTCTCTCTCCTCTTCCATCTGTAACGTGTATATATCGGTACAAAGTAAGTCCCAGGACGCTTCCCTGTTTTGCCTTCTTTTAGTCATAACAATTCGGAAACCTCTATGTCCGCGATAGCTAAATTGGAAGAGAGGTGGGTTTGAAGAGAATTTTTTAATTTTGTATTATATTTGTTTTCTCCTTGGGGTTCAAAAAATTATATTAATTATTTCGTATGGGTAATATTGAGATTTGTTTTGGGAATTTCCTGGGAATTTAATACTTCAAAATAGATAATAGATGGAGAGCTAGCGACACAAAAGTAGGGGTGACTCAAAATTTTGTTATTTATAGTTCTATTTTTTCTAATTTTTACTAGATTATTTATAAAATTGTGTTTGGTAAAATTTGAATAATAATTACTTTTTTTAGAAAATAAATATTTGAAATTAACAATTATTAACTTCTTACCAATCTGATACTTTTAAAATGTATATCATTGGTAAACATTTTAATACTCAAATTTTATTAATTTATTACTTTTTTTAAATTATAAATAAGTTATTGGCAACCACTTACCGTTTCAGCAGCAAAAATCAGCAAAATGGAAAATAAACATTGAAGCGCACTTCCTACTGCTATTATTATGAGTACGGTTTTTAATACTGTAACAGGAAACAAAGTATTAGAATCATAGATTCACATTTTTCAAACAACTATGTATATACTTTAAATTATTACCGGTATATTAGAGCATGAAATAAAAAAATTAAAAGAAAGTTATACACATATTTAATATTAGAAAATATATTTTGAAGCAGATGTTGCGTTTGACAGAGACATTTTATTATTTTGAAGCAATATTTGTTTAAATAAAGATTGTAAAATATGGTAAACAGTTTTTTTTTATTTCCCTTTTGTCCTAATACATTAAGCTACTGTTTTTGCAGTGAATAACTCATGCAAATTAGCTCTATTGATGGTTCAAATGAAATTATTTATTTACAAAAACAAATTGGTAAATTTAATTTGAAAAAATTGTATTTATTTGAATCAAAGAAATAGTTATTAGGAGAATATTATGGTACTGCTAAGAGACATTTCAGTCAACGTTTAACGTATTTTTTAATAATTACTATGTCAATCTTATAAACAAACTCACCTGTCAAATCTGGAACGATGGAGGGATCCGATATGTCAATTAATTCGTGTGGATTGTCAGCATACGCTGCTGCTAATACCAAAAACATAAATGCTACTATGCTTTGAACCACTCCAATTATTATTGTTCCATGCTTGAGGCTGAAGCCGCAGCAATTGGTCATTTCAACTCCCATTCTAGCACTGTAAAAAAATATTGCGATAAAATTTTTATTATGAATGGTTCTGACCAGTTCATTAGTTATCCAGGCTAAAATTTTTGAATTTTTTCTATATACCTTGACTTTTTGTGCACTGATTTATGCGGGATGTTATAATGTTAACGATTTTTTTTGTTACAGACTCCGGTTCGCTAATTTCAAAGATATTCCAAAAAATCTGGTGAAATTGGATTTTTAATTTTTCATAATTATTTAGACATATTTTTGTTATTATTAAGATTGTTAATTAACTGTAACACCGTGGACAAATGACCTGTAATGTTAGTTTTTATTATTAAAGATATAACATGTTACAAAGTTATGGTCATAAAAACATGCCTTATACTCTCCTTGTTGGACTATTTATAATATAACTATAACCAAATTCCCTAAATACACTTAGACTGTCATTAGTGCATTCCGTGTTTACCATTAAATCAATGTTGATATCCAAAAAGGTAAATCAAACAAAGGTGGTCCTTAAGATCTCACAAGAGTATTTTATTACGACCGGTTTCGAGGATCAAATCCTCATCATCAGGTAAGGTCTAAAAATAGAGAGGAAAAACGAATGAGTTCATAACTAATAAGTGGGTTTAAACATTTTAATATGAAAGTTGTCAAATATCAAGAACTCACCCGTAATTACTCATCTATTTAAGACTAAGCTAGTAGAATTATCCCAGGGTCGGTGTAAAAACAAGTATGCGAGTATTTTTTAAAATACATAAAAAATATAAAAAACAATAGTTGCAACAAAAAGTTGATGTCAAAACACATAAACAAAAGTAGGTCTAAAACTATTAATAAAATTATTAAAATATTTCACGAACGGACGAACAATTAAGACAAACAAATTTAAAAACTTTTTAAAAAACCCTACAAGCAATAAAATGGGTTCTTGGACAAGTGTTTATAATTCTACAGGAATTAAATTTTATTTAGATTACTAACTGATTAACGCCCTCAAGATATAAATAGACGAATTAACCATTCTAATATTTAAGATAACAGTTTAGAGGTTGTCAAATTTAAATATTTTGACTATCGGCTAATAGATGGCGTTGGCGAAAAAAATAAATGTTTCTATAATATAGGTTTATAAACTGAATTGTTTGAATTTGTACGTAATAAACAAAATGAAATAAATAAATTATTATTGTTAAAAGTAGAGTTTAGCATTAGCGTTGGAAAATAATTTTAGATGTACTAATATTCAAATTAAGAAGTTGGTAACAATCAACGGAAAAGGAAATGGAGTCAAAATGAAAAGAGAGAAAAACTATTGATTTGGTTAATTATTTTTTGAAGTAATGTGCTGAAAAATGAAAATGGAAAAAGAGACAGAATAATAAATAAGATAAGTATAACTAATAATTTCATAGGGAAATTTTAAAGTAAAAGGGGGGGGGGGGTAATTTAAGGAAAACGTAGATTTTTAAAAAAGAACTGAGAACGTGGGTGTGGATTCGGAAAAACTTGTGAGTTTAGTGATAATGCATTGTTACTTTTACTTAATCTAAATATTTCTAGGTTCTCCAAATTATTTAATATCAACTTGTTGTGGCAAATATGGAGTACCCTAAAGCCATCCCCTGAGTCAAAATCGTGATTGGACCCTACTAGATGGGTGGCAAAATGTGAGAAGCCGGTTGTGGCAGTATTCAAACATCTTAAATGTTCTTTAAGTCTAGTTCTAAAATTACGAAAGGTTCTACCTACATATTTGGCTGGGCAAGACTTACAACTGAGTTCATATATGCCTGGTTGATCCATGATGTCCACTTTATCTTTATTCTTGATGAAAAAGTTACTAATTGAGTTGGAGGATTTAAAAGAAATTTTGAAGTGATTTTTGAGGATATTGGAGACTTTATAAGAAATATTTCCAATATAGGTAAGTGACATATACTTACTAATGCTAGCCTCTACAGGTATAGGGTTAGTTATAAATGTTGTATTTTGAATAATTCTATTTTGTTTTTTACTCAACATTTTATCGATTAAACTGTGATCATAATTGTGTAGATGAGCTATGTTTTTTATTGTGTTAAGTTCTCTATTGTAGTTTTCAATGGATAAAGGCACTCGTAATAGACGTTCTAAATAACAATTAAAGGAAGCTAATTTATGCGAGATGGGGTGATTAGACAAATTATCTATTACTACTCCTGTATGAGTGGGTTTTCTATAGATATCAAAACTTAATTTAGAGTCATTGTTATGGGATATTTTTAAATCTAAAAAGTTTATAGATTTATCTACTTCGGTTTCTAAAGTAAACTTAATGTTGGTATGTAGAGAGTTAACATGAGACAAGAAATCATTCAATGAGTCTTTGCTACCAGTCCATAGTATTAGAATATCATCCACATATCTATAGTAAAATTTGATTGAATGGTAAAAATTATTGTTATTTAAGATATTGTCTTTTTCAAAGTTATGCATAAATATGTCTGCCAATATGGGACTCAAAGGGGAACCCATAGCTAAACCAGTTTTTTGTGAAAAAATTTCTCCATTGAACACAAAGAAATTTTGATCTAAGCAAATTTTAAGTAGATTAGTGAATTCAATTAGTTCTAAATCTGATAAAGTAGAATTTGACAAAAAAGAATTAATCAAAGATAAGACTTCTGGAATAGGGATGTTAGTAAAAAGGTTCGACACATCTAATGAGATTAACAAATCGGTCTCGTTGATATGAGTATCCTTGATATTATCTATTAACACTAGGCTATTTTTTACTGTGTGTGTAAAATGATCTTTATAATAACCTTTGAGTGAATCATTAAGCCATTTAGCTGTGAGGTAAGTTGGTGAATTCACGAATGATAATACTGGACGTATGGGCATATCTTTAAAATCATCTGATTTATGTATTTTTAGAAGACCATATAAACGTGGTATTCTGTCTCTTTTTCCATTTTCATTTTTCAGCACATTACTTCAAAAAATAATTAACCAAATCAATAGTTTTTCTCTCTTTTCATTTTGACACCATTTCCTTTTCCATTGATTGTTACCAACTTCTTAATTTGAATATTAGTACATCTAAAATTATTTTCCAACGCTAATGCTAGACTCTACTTTTAACAATAATAATTTATTTATTTCATTTTGTTTATTACGTACAAATTCAAACAATTCAGTTTATAAACCTATATTATAGAAACATTTATTTTTTCGCCAACGCCATCTATTAGCCGATGGTCAAAATATTTAAATTTGACAACCTCTAAACTGTTATCTTAAATATTAGAATGGTTAATTCGTCTATTTATATCTTGAGGGCGTTAATCAGTTAGTAATCTAAATAAAATTTAATTCCTGTAGAATTATAAACACTTGTCCAAGAACCCATTTTATTGCTTGTAGGGTTTTTTAAAAAGTTTTTAAATTTGTTTGTCTTAATTGTTCGTCCGTTCGTGAAATATTTTAATAATTTTATTAATAGTTTTAGACCTACTTTTGTTTATGTGTTTTGACATCAACTTTTTGTTGCAACTATTGTTTTTTATATTTTTTATGAATTTTAAAAAATACTCGCATACTTGTTTTTACACCGACCCTGGGATAATTCTACTAGCTTAGTCTTAAATAGATGAGTAATTACGGGTGAGTTCTTGATATTTGACAACTTTCATATTAAAATGTTTAAACCCACTTATTAGTTATGAACTCATTCGTTTTTCCTCTCTATTTTTAGACCTTACCTGATGATGAGGATTTGATCCTCGAAACCGGTCGTAATAAAATACTCTTGTGAGATCTTAAGGACCACCTTTGTTTGATTTACCTTTTTGAACTTATAACTCACACATGGCTACCACCTTCAACTTTAATGTTGATATCACATAAAAAATTTGACACTATTAATTAGTAATGTATTTTTGAATATAAAACTGGATCTTCAATTTCTTTAGGAGTAGGTGTTGATGGTTTATTGGTAACTTTTCTTCGAGGAGGGGTTAAACATTAATTTATTTTTTTAGATTTACCAATTCATTGACTTTATATGGTACTTCTTCTATGAAAAGTTTTAATACCTTTATTCCCAGTTCGCACTAGTTTAAGATTCTCTATTAATATCTTTTTCATTTCTATCTTCAATTATTTTAATCGATGTTTCTCTGAGATTGGTACAGTTACTTAATATTTCTTTTTTTTTTTTAGATAAGATATTACGAACAACACGGACAACAATACTGGCTGGGAAATAGAGTTGTTTTTTCTAATTTTATATGTATTTTGTTGATTGTTAAACAATTGAGCAGTTCTATTAACACATTTATTGTTCGCATTAAAGTGAAATTATTTAAACCCTCTCAGCAATTAAGTAAATACACCATTATGCCACTTTTATGCATACCTACTCTACAACAAAATAAATTGGAACTGGAAAAAATTAACGAGTCAGAGCGTTTTTTAATAAATAACCAGGGGTGTCCAAATACAATTTTATATGGCAAACATTTCTGAGATACAGCGGACGTCCTTTTTCATTTAAACACCCAGTACAATCAATTTCTAACCCGATAAGCGGAAGTGTTTCGTTAAAACGTTTTTATGAATCAAATTCTCAGTTCAAATAACCATCCAATTTAACGCAACCATTGTTAAATCGTCTATCTCACTACCTCGTATTTTTTCAACCGTGAAGGTCGCTTTTCTAATTCGCCTAGAAGATGAGTTTAAAATGACTGTTTTTAGATTTCACTAAGATTTCAAGTAATGTACTTGTAATATTTTAACGATTATAAGTACTTAAGGCAGGCGATCGCCCATGTTAAATCCCCGTATGTTCAGAGTTTACTTTTGACGAAGCTTTCAGGAAAAGTATACTTCGTAGCATTAATTTTAATATAAAAATCAGTTCATGAATTATGCCTACGAGTTGTAAAGAAATCTAAAGGAACAAAGGTTTTTAAAAATACTCGAAAAATGACTTTGATCCTCGGTATCCAAACCACGTAGAAACCC